CTTACTCTTTTTTTTACAATCCGATGGCGACCAACTTGCTCCGATTGTGAAAGTCATGGAGAAAACTCATCGGCGCAAGGATGGGAGGTTTGTTACCGCTCAAGCGGAATAAACGTTCAACGCCTACAACGCTCGAGTGGCAGAGCTAGAGTCACAGTACTCTCCGGGTGGTAGTTCTGTCCAGTCTACATTGGGTGTCGCAGATTACGATAAAATTTACGAAGAGGTAATTTTTTTAGTTTTTAATATAATATTTTAACTTATTTTCTATCACATTTTTAACAATTTGATTTTATAACGTTTTCATTTTATAGGTAGCACCGAAGAAAAAAAGACGGATCTTGGGTGTTGGATCCATCACCGATCTCCCAGCAGTTTCTTCTACCGCTCGGTATAGTTACACTCCGAGTTCTTCTGACCCGCAGTTGGCAACGCAGTTGACCGCTGCTAATGCTGAGATTGAGNGGCTAAAGACGGAACAAGCGGATCTGCGGTCAACCAACAGTTCGATGCAAGGCCAACTCATGGTATTGACAAATCTGATGGACAGTATTGCAGTGGATAACCCGACTTTAGCTGCTACCCTCTCCCAGATACTGCGTCCTGCACAGCCACCTCCAGCTAGAGGTCAACCGTAGTTCGACGAAGAAGCCGAAGCTATGACGAATGAATATAGAGACGACATCAATCATAGAGTTCGATGCTAATTCGATGCTAAAATGACGCAAAATTAGCGTCGATTTAGCATCGACATAAGATGGAACCGATGCTAAATCGACGTTATATTAGCGTCGGAAAAAATCGATACTATTTTGATGCTAAATTAGCATCGAATTAGCATCGAAATATAGCATCGTTTTAGCATCGATTTGTTCCGACGCTAATATAGCGTCGATTTAGCATCGGTTCCGTATTCTGTCGATGCTAAGTCGACGCTAATTTTGCGTTATTTAACGTCGAATTAGCATCGAAAGATAGCATCGAGTTAGCATCGAATTCAGTTTAGCGTCGACAGTTTAGCGTCGAAATGTCATTCGACGCAAAAACGACGCTAAAGGACTTTAGCGTCGATTTAGCATCGAATTTTGCCGACGCTAAATCTGTGTTTTCTTGTAGTGAGATGAGAAGTTGAAACTAGAATAAAGATGGAAAAAAATCAAAAAGAAGGCTTACCGCAGTTCCACGAAGAGCCATCTCGGCATAAGGAACATGTTGCATCAGCGTGTCTGGAGGAGTCATCGTCATTCCAGAGCAGGTCACACTAGAAAGGAGGAGAGCCGCAGAGGAGCAATTCTCGCAAACACCATCCTCGGCCAAAGACGTCAGAGCGGTAGTCTCAAGACAACCAACCTCGCCGCTTTTCCGCTTCTTGGTGGATCTCACCTCGGCAGCAGCTTTCCCTTTGACAGAACCACCGAGTTGCCGGCCCTGGTCTTTCCCTCTCTTCTGGCCCGTGCCAGTCTTAGCAGTCCCCTCAATACGCCCAAGAGCAATCACGTGCTCAGGAAGAGGTGCCACAGTAGACCTCAGCACCGGCTTCAGAACCGCGAAGGGCTTCGTTAAAGTAGCAGAGCTCGGCACTGAGGAAGGGCCAGCACCCTTCGTAGTTGGCTCTTTCCCACCGACAACATTGCCAGGAGACCTCGTTGTGTTAGCCTCGGCCGTTTCCTTGGCTTTTGTAGCCTCTCTTTCTCTCCAAGTCACCATCTCGTACTCTGAAGGGTTAGCCGACGAACCCGAAACAGAAAGTATTTCC